ACATGTAATATATTTCACCAACTCTTCTCCTATTTATCATTTATGTACCATAAACTAAGTTATTAATGATGAGATGATTGATGTAGCTTAAACAAGTTTGACTAACTTTAATATTTGCTATTTAATGTTAAAGTACTTATTTTCATGTTTGTTTATATATTCTATTTTATGTTTTTTTTATTTATTTGGCCAAAAAATGATAGTGTTGAGTGATTTGTATAATGTGTAAGAGAATACTGTGCATTTTTTTAATCATGTATTTCTGCAAATTGATTGCTCTCGTTGAATAGAGAATATTGTGCAATTTGTAGGAAATAGATATATGTTCCGACAAAGATTTAATGCTATTGATTGATTTTTAATCAACGTAGAAATATAGTGGGTTAAATAAATTGATTAGAGGTAATTAGTTAAAATATAGAAAAATCAGGCCTAACATAATATTTGAGTAATTTACTTTTTGGCTTATTTAGAAACTAAATAAGCGACAACTAAGTGAAATTATGAATCTCGACTACTTTATCTCCTCAACTTCCCTTAAATTTTCAGACCTGTTCTCTTTGTTATTTTTGAAGAGTTTTTAGTTATTTTCTTTATTTTCAAATTTTAAATCTTAATCTGTGTCTCATTATTAAAAATGAAATTAACTATTGTATAATCAAGTAATCATTCATTGTGAAATTGACAATTTAGCCCCCGTTTGACCCACATTATTTGGATTTATAATGGGGGAATAGTGTGTGTTTTTTTTTTAAATGGATGGTTGTAAAAGAATGAAAAGTTTTCGATTTGCATATAATATTATTTTATTCAATATTGTGTGATTGAAAATAAGAAAGAGGGAAATTTATATTAAATTGATGAGTTTTAATAAGGGCCAAATGGAGGCTTCGACCCATTAATCCAATTCATTACTTGTACAATACACGACCCTTGTAATAAAAAAAATTTAGCAAACGCAGCCCTACATAGAGTGGCAAACAACCATAAGAACTTATGCAAATGACCTTTTTTTCAATTTATTTGTTAATAGAGGAGCTCATAAACAGCATATTAATATACCCATAACCACCCAGAAAAAGTGCTAAGAATTTTATTCCAAGACAAAATCAAAGAAGAGACTTGAAAAAAATAATAATAATAATAATAATAATAATAATAATAATAATTACCCTAGATTTAAAACACCATTCATAGATAATCCATCAATCGTCCTTAAGATCTATTCACAAACTCCACTAGTCCATTCTCAGTATTCTGATTAAACCAAAAACAAGTAAACATTGCTAATGATTTTTTTAAATTTTTGTTTGAAATATTATCATTTTAGATATTATGGCATATAAATTTAACTTAACATCGGAGCTGTAACAAAGAATAGGATGCATATCATCAGCTGCCCATTTTTCTCGATTGATTTAATTTAGAATAAATTTATTTAAAAAACAATTTGTAATAATTAAAATGTATGTTAATTTGATTCATATGAATATAAACATTGAGTGAGAGACGGAGTTTATTTAATTAAAAAAAAATTGATCTCCTTTGTATTGATAAATCTATTAAATGAGAGCAATCAGTTTGTAGAAATAAATAAAGATACACAAGGATTATAGAGGTTTGCTTCAATTTGATACTACTTTCTCCACTATATGTCTCCCTTAAGCTCTATCTTCTTTTATGAAGGTAATGAAAACCTTGATGACGGGTCTTTATTTATAAGGTAAATTCTTTGTTCATATTGTTGGAACAAAAATTTATAAAAAACCTTTAAACCGTCTCATAAAATTTATTTTATTAGCCTACATTGGAAAATTTATAAATATCTTAGCCCCCGTTTGGCCCCCATTATTTCTCATTAAATTAAATTAAATTTTTCTCTCTCCTATTTTTAACCACACAATTTTCAATAAAATAATATTACATGTAAATAAAAAACTTTTCTTTTCTTTTCAACCGCTTTTTCAAAAAAACACTATTCAAAACATTATAATCTCCAAATAATGGGGCTCAAACGAGAGCTTAATTTATAAATAGATATAAATGAGTTATAGATAAATTGATAATACTTGTCATTGAGTCTATTAAAATGTGGGATTAAAAATGAAGTTTGATGATTTATAAATTTTCTGGAGGCATTGTCGTAATTTTGTATCTAATATACAAACGAAATCAATCTATTTGTAAATCTTATATTTCCAATAGTCACTATAAAAATGGGCTTACAATTTTGTGCATGATACACTCGAGATTCTACTAAACAAACATACTACATTGATTTTGAGCCCCATTTTGAGGGGAAAAAATTATATTGTAATAGTAAATTTTTAAGAAATAAGAAATTTTTTCTAATTTATATGTAAAATTATTTCATTAAAAAATGTGTTGTTGAAAATAAGTTTTAAGAAAAATGGGGCTCAAACTAAAATTCAAGCTTTGTCAAACATATATACATAGAACAATTTTGTCCAGATGGATCACATGAGAGCCTTTTCTGAACGCTAAAAAAGCACGTTTAAAATAAAAATTATTTATATATGAAAGGGAAAAAAGAAAAAAAGAAAGAAAAAGTTTCATCCCCATGACTAAAATCAAATAAATACTCAGTTAATAAGGCAATATAGGAAATGAATGCTAATTTAGGGCTTGTTTGACATAATTTTTGAAAAGTCAAAAGGTACTTTTGAGACTTAGAAGTAGTTTTTGAATGATTTGACCATTTAAATGTAAGTGTTTCTTTTTGTTAGAGCTTTTAGAAAAACTGATCAAATGTGATTTCCTTTGAAAACATTTATAGAATAGAAAATTCTTTTAAAAATTAATTTTCAAACAAAAATTAAAGTAACTTCCTTAAAAAAAAAAAAAATTACAAGAAGCAAAAGTCAATATACACTAAACTACTTTTTAAGAAAATGTACTTATAAGTAGAAAAATATTTGTACTTTATTGGCGAAAGATAAAACATATAAATATTTTAAGTTACTTAATTTTCTACTCCAAAGTAATGATTACTTGGTAAACATTAATTATTTTAACTTCAAAATATATATAAGTTGTCCCATACAATTGGGAATAAAAAGTTGCTAAAAGATCATTTTATTTTCCTTTTCTAATTTAGTCAAAAATGCTAGTCGCTAAAGAAGAAAAACAGAAAGAATAGGTGGACAAAGTAAGGTTGAGGACAATAAGAAGTCATAATGATAAGATTTAAGATAGTCTAGTTCAATTGTACGGATGTTGATGTCCTTATCCCAAGGTAAATATTCTTGTCACATTATCCCGATTAAGCAAGGAGTCCTTGTCTCGTTTGAAATTGATCTAGATAGGGTCAAACCAATTAAAATTATCATCCTTAATCAATTAGCTCCTATAATGAAGGTTGATATTGAGCAACAAGGAGGCAACACCATATAATATATATTTAGCATAAAAATAACATTCACGTCTTGAAATTTAAGCTCTGCTTATTTGAGATATTAACAAATTTCTACACTTCACCCCCACAAAATTTGCAAGGTAAAAACTTCTTTATTTATTCTATTTAAGATATTACATTTTCTAGTAATTTCTAACATATAGTCGAGTAGCTGAATACATTTCCTAATATGTACATTATTTCATTCTAGTGCATTATTATATTTTGTTGACAGATCACTTTTGGCCCCTTCTCTTCTCGATAGTTCATACCTTCTGTGTCTCCAAATTTATATCATATCATGAGAGTATGATACCCTTTTAAAAGTCAAAAATTATTTTTGAGAATGAGAAGAGCTATTTATGAATATGTTTTGATAATTTCCTAAAATTGTTTTCTATGGCTAGAAGAACTTTTAAAAAAATTTAGCCAAAGATAGTTTTCTTGCAAAAGTCTTCTACAAGAAATAGAAGCAAAACATAAATCCTACTAAATGGACTGTGTTTACCTCACAAAATAAAAATTATTTTTTAATATCAACAATGAAGTTTTTCTTCTGAAATTTTGACAGAGTTTTTTTTTTTTATCCTTTCGAGGTTTTTTCGTGTGTTTTTGGTGATTTTTTTTGTTTAAAGAAAGAAAGAAGAAGTTTTGAGTGCATGTTTGATCCAAAAGGGCACTTCAATTAGATAATATTGAGCTTTCCAATAGCGTCGACCTTAATTTTTCCTCGATTACGAGACGTATTTTTAGCATAGAAGATTGGATTTGTAAAATTATTCTGAGATCGTACTAAAAAATGGCGTCTTATATTTGAGGTTGTACGAAGGCCTTTATTTTTGCCCTTTGGACAAGGCTTACAATTTGTTCTTTAATTCAAGTGTTAGGGTTTTTGCTAGATGGTGCTTGCAGCCACGACGGTTTATGCTCTGAGGAGTCAATTATGCTTTTCATGAAAAGGTCGAGGAGTCCATCTTTAATTTTATGAGATCGTACTAAAAAATGTTGTCTTATATTTGAGGTTGTAACAAGGTCTTTATTTTTGCCCTTTGGACAAGGCTTACAATTTGTTCTTTAATTCAAGTGTTAGGGTTTTTGTTAGATGGTGCTTCGTCAGTCATGATGCTTTATGCTCTGAGGAGTCAATTATGCTTTTCATGAAAAGGTTGAGGAGTCCATCTTTAATTTTCCATTGAAGTGTTCTTAAGCTACAAAATTTGTATTTTCATTTTCATTTTTTTATTTTTATTTCTTTTCATTTTACTTTTATTTTTTTCTTCTTTCTTCTTTCTCTTTTTTTTTTTTTTTTTTTTTTTATAAATGTTCTTTAGTGAAGTACATGTGGATTGAAGAAATTATCTTCAAACACGAGGTTATGTGCAAGATATACGATCATTTAATAGAAAAAATGATGGCCTATACTAGCAGGGATGAACTTGGACTGAAATTGAAAGAATAAGACTTCAAATGTAAAAAATTTGATCATGGGACTGATGCGCTATCTTAGTCAAACTTAAGAGACCGGACTGCAAAATTTTCAAATAGGAAAATCTTTTGTTTTTATGACATTCTTCAAAAAATAATATTTATTTATTTTCTTTTCCATTCTAAGTGGCAAAGCAAAATCCAATTCGATTTCTTCAGACTTCAATTCAGTCTTAGCTGTTGGTGTTAGGTGTATTAAATTTCATCTCCAGCTTGGATACTAGTCATCATGCAAAGCCCAAAACTCCATTTCCTATATATATGCAGCATGAATGTTGGCTTAAGAATTATCATAAAATTCGCCGAGAAACAAGAAAACAGTAAAGGAAACAAACAGGAAGAGCAGCAGCAGACCAAATTACTCGGTGTAAGGTAAGAACTGATTGAACCGAAGAATTCTTTCGATTACTTGTCAAACGCTAGTTAAATTTGTTCATGCATGTCTACATGTGTCATTTCGGGTGTCGCAACAAATTTGGGCAAAATCGGGGTTTTCTGGGCACTGCATGACGTTAGTGCTGAGTCCAAAACCAAAAGTGGGTGCTAAAGATTCTCCTTTTTCAGTTCTGGTGGGGTAGCTTCCTAGGGAAAAAAAAATCAAAGACTTATTTGTTACCAAATTTGGAATTTTGTAAAGTGAAATGTTCATATATATACCGATATAGGTACTGGAGTTGTTCCTCCTGATTTGATAGAGGTGAGTTTTGGGGAATTTTTAGGTATTTCTAAGTTTTGTCGATATTCTTCTTATGGAGGATTGCATGCTTTCCCATTGATTTCGTTTTCTTCAATGTAAAGCATCTCATTTTCGTTAATTTATTAGGTTTCCATTGTTGTGAAATTTGTTTCCTTATTACAACCCAATGATCTTGTTTGAATATATCACCGTTACCATCCTTATTTTGCGTTACAGAGTTTAGTTATAAATATGCTGTGGTTGAGAATAATTTTGCTTGTTGAAGGCTGAAGGAAGAATATAATTTTCTTTTTCTATTTTTTAAATTAGTTCTTTTATTTTTACTTTTTCCTTTTGTTGAATCAGTTAAAATGGCAATGAGAAGAGTGGATCTCCGGTCTGACACTGTCACTAAACCAACTGAAACCATGCGGGCTGCAATGGCAAGTGCTGAAGTTGATGATGATGTATTGGGTTACGACCCAACAGCCGCTCGCCTTGAAATGGAGATGGCAAGGATCATGGGCAAGGAAGCAGCACTATTTGTCCCTTCAGGCACAATGGCTAACCTGATTTGCATACTAACTCACTGTCAAATTCGGGGAAGTGAAGTCATTCTGGGTGACTATTCCCATATCCACATTTATGAAAATGGTGGCATTTCCACAATTGGAGGCGTTCATCCAAGGACAGTGAAGAATAATGAAGACGGGACAATGGATCTTGATCTAATTGAGGCAGCAATAAGAGATCCTGCATTTGAGATCTGTTTTCCAACTACTAGGCTCATCTGCTTGGAGAATTCACATGCACAGTAAGTCTAACATTTAAGCACAAGTCTCTTTTGACTAATTGTTATGGATTAAACTATTTGTAATCCCAAAAGCAAAAATAAACAAAAAATAACAGTAGTGCGCCTAGAAATATAGATAGTTCACTCTAATGCGAGAGTTAGGTCCACTCACTGCTGATGACTTTCACTAAGACAAGAAGAGAACACAGTTTAAAATGGAGATCTTCTCACACCACACAAAACAGTCACCGCAAACTCCTTTCTGTGGCCCAGGAATCTTGGGTGACTGAGGTCAAAGGGATGAATGACCAATACAATTCTTTCTTAAAAAAAAATAAAAATAAAAATAAAAAATCCATCTCCGTGGATCAGCGCTGAAATGGATAATTTTACAATATAATTCGGACTTACACAATAAAGCGTATTCTCCTTATAACTTACCATATTTATATTTTAAGTTCCCACCTTCATATTTGTAAAAATTAATATTTGTGAGTACCATACTTTGGTTAGTTTTAGCATTATCTTTGTAGCCATTTTGCATATTCCCTTTCCTGTATCCAGACGTGAATAAACTTAGAAAGTGATTTGCTTAGAACTCAGTTATATGACAATGTTTTGCTGGTCAAAATGCCTGTTTAATTTAGGAAAATTTGTTATAGAAGGGATTTTTTCAGAAAATGTAACTCTATTGAGAAAAATAAGAAAAAAATATGTCAAAACTGAAAATTCAAAAAATTTTTCTGTCCATTTATTTCCTGTTGGAGTATACAAATAGAAAAATGCTTGTGGTGGTTCAAGCATGTGACACCAGATGTACCTCTATGAAGTATAGACATATTTTTTTGTTGATGGTAGGGGTTAGGGGAAGAAGATGGAAATACCACTTGAGGACATCATTGAAAAGAAGTTATGACAACTTTTGGTCTATTAAGGAATTGTCCTGCAACGAAGAAAAATGAATGAAGACCTTTTAGACAGATTGCTCTGGCTAGTTTTTTGAGGTTTTAGCTCTTGGTGAGTTATTAGATCATATACACTAATAACATTTGATCGTCTCATGTAGTTGGGATGTTTCCAATGCTCCTGTTATACTTTCTTGTATTCTTTTCTGCATGAGGGTGAGGGAATGTTGGATAGATCTTCTGGATTTCATTGGAAGATGATGCTTTTCCAGAAGAAAAGAAGCAGAAGTTTCTTTACTGTAGCATATTCCTGTAAACCAGAGATCTAATAAAATTTGTTTATGGCTAATTATGAGCTGATATGGTAGTCATGGGGTTGCTAATCTTTTGCAGAATTAGAGCTCATGAAACTATGCCAAAAAAATTAAAAATCACAGTTGTTATTACCAGTTCTCTTCTTCTGTATATGTTTGATTTCTGTGATGAAATTCTCTAATCACTATCTAACAATTCTCACTAAAACTTCCCCAGAGGCATATGTACAGAAGCGTGATAGTGATTTCTAGTTAGGTAAGGGAATAAGGAGAGATTGTGTACAGATCAAAGGATATCTCATTTTTCCTCTTGCTATTCGATTCTTCAAAAGTTGGATAACTTGAAGGATTAAACTGAGAAGGGTCAAATGACTGTTTCAAACTTTTTACTATCAATACACTTTTAGTATGGGGTAAAAAACTGAAGTATGAGAATAGTAAGTTCCATATTTTATCCCTTCATGCCATTCTAGTATATTTGTAGACCTTTAGTTAGATGTGAACGCATAAGTATATGAGAGTCATTTTTTGTTATGCTGCTTTTATTCCTGAGGATGGTAGCATATTTGTCCAGCGTGTCTGTGTTCTATAGTGTTTCAAATGAAGATATCTGTGGTTAGAGGGTATCTGGTGTATTTAACATGTGCTTCATTTTGGTCGTACATTAGAAAGGGGCTCCGTTCTTAACTGTTTCCTAATGCTTAATAAAAGATTTGGAGATCTCTGAGGTAGGCTCTATTCACAGGGTTCATGTTTCCATTGTAGAATTTTCCATAAGATTCTTGGGGCTTGGGTGTAGATGCTAGTGTGGGGGGTGTGGGCATTATCTCGTGTGTAACCTGTGTCTTTTTTTAAGGATTGATTCAGAAACATACTTCTAATTTTCTATGAATAGAAGTATAGAACTCACTATGGTGTCTAAACTAAGTGCTAACCAAAATGCATTTTTATTATTTTGAACAAAGACTGTCGGTGATCTCTCTTCTTTACTGCAGACATCCTGTTTATGTCTCTTAGTAGTTCATAGGTACATAGTTAGAGATCTTGTAAAAATCAGTGTTTTTACTTTTTTATTATTATTTAAAATGCATTTCCTTTGTGGAAAATCAGACTGTTGATTCTCTAATGGTGTGGTTCCTGATGGGGATTTTTTTCTCATTGCTGCAGCTCTGGTGGGAGATGTCTTTCTGTAGAGTACACGGACAAAGTTGGAAAGCTAGCAAAGAAGCATGGTTTGAAGCTTCACATTGATGGGGCACGTATTTTCAATGCATCAGTTGTGAGTCTAATTTTCTCAGTACTCTCTATAGGTATATGCATATAGAAAGATATACATCCATGCATATAGATATACATATATGGGCAAAAATTGTACCCACTGATTTGTGGAGAGAGCTCTTCCCTATTTTCTGTTATTTTGAAATCAGCTCCTCCCCATTTTTATTCTGCCTAAAACAGCCCAAATTTAAATCTGGAAATTTGAAGATAAGGGCAAATTAGGTCAATTTACAAAGTAGTCCCTACATCTCTCTTCTTCATCCTTTACCTACCTCTCTTAAACCCACTCTGACATCCTTTTCTAGCATGATTCAATCTCTGTCATCGGGCACAATTTCTGTCATCAATCACCTTCCACTCCATTGTTTCATGCCGGTCCATTGTGCCACTGGTTACTCCTTCTATTAGACCTTCAAGGCCAAGTCTGTTTTTCTTCACCATTCCCAATATTCAAGGATACATTTCAACATTTCATCCATACGTCCTTATCAATTTCAATATTATTCCTAATGCCAAATCAAAATTTTAAAAAAATGATCATAGAAAAATAAACGAACTCATGTGAAACAAAAATTAAAAAAATATTTTGCAAAAGAAAAAAAATGATTTATGCAATTTGAAATGTTTAATTTCCAACATGAAAACAAAGTGTGTTGATCTTTTCAATAATTCTAAATTTTTCTTACCTATTATCTCTCTCGTAGTCTATAAAGTTCTATTCTAGAATAAATATAGAGGCTTAAATTTTTTACAGATCAATCTAGTGTATTCTCTTCATATGTGTGTATATTATTTCCCTATATTATGGAATTTCTGTGTTGAGTGTTCTGGTATTCAACAATTCAATGAGCCAAATCAATGCGTCTAGTCGCCATAAATATTTGAAATGAATAAGCTAATCATAAAATGAGTTTGTGGCATGAAAATATTACTTTGGAGGTACACACGCACAAGGGACCTCTACATGCTAAGTTACTTTGTTCCGAGTCAAATGCATGTTATTCAAAAAAATTTGAACTCTCAAACTTAGAAGTGAGCATTTGCAATGTTGACTTCTGGACAAGAGAAGTACCTTCCCAAGCCTCCTTATAGGTCTAACAGTAGCAGTGACAATGTTGAGAGGAAACAAATAAAGACTTGATTTTCTCCTATCTTTGAACACCATATTAACTTGAGTGGCTAGAATGCCCCCATACTGGGTTGGACTTGGTTTATATCAGTAGACCTGTGTCTATGCACAATACATTGTCAAATCTGGGAAATTGTTGACTTGTCGTCAAGTATAATGGAGGTAAGCAGATTGCTTCAAATTTTATTGCATTTTTTGTGTTACTGGTTACCATTTTAATTGGAAATCTGTATTCCAGGCACTTGGAGTTCCTGTTCACAGGCTTGTGCAGGCAGCTGATTCAGTAACGGTTAGTCGATGGAAGCCAAAATCAGAGCTATTTTTGCCCTTTCTAGATTCAGTCTATGTTTTTTTTCATCTTTGAGAATGATTTTCTAGTTTTTCTAAAACATAAACAAAACGTGATATACCATTAACTCATCTTTGTTATACACTATTGTATAATGTTATATAATGTCCTTATCAGCTCAATTCCTCGTCAAATGAATGTGTGATGTAGGCTTGTTTATCAAAAGGTCTTGGTGCTCCAGTTGGAACTGTGATTGCAGGCTCAAGAAGCTTCATTGCCAAGGTAAAGTGTTTATTTTATTTTTTCGTTTTCCCTTTTTGCCAAGGCTTTGAAAAAGAATTCATTTTCTATTCTGCTAATTTGAAAGATTTCCTTTTCCTTTGGTTCTACATAAAAGGCAAAGATTCTTAGGAAGACTTTAGGCGGTGGAATGAGACAGGTTGGCATCCTATGCGCTGCTGCTATAGTTGCATTGGAAGAAAATGTTAGTAAACTTGAAGGTGATCATCAAAAGGCTAAGATTTTGGCAGGTAACTTTTTTGCTTCTAGGTGTTTAATTTAAAAACTAATTTTCTTTCAAAACTTGATCACATAGCCATAATTCCATATTACATATTTGTGCTTTTTTATCAGAGGGACTGAACAAAATCGAAGGACTAAAAGTTGATATGGCTTCCGTGGAGACCAACATTGTAAGTTGCATTATTGTTTAAACCGTAGATAAGTCAGCTTCTTCTCCACCATATTCTCTTTGGGGGAACACTTACTGATTTTTTTCATGATTCTGGATTTAAAGGCTTTGAACTAATTTATAATTATCAATCTCTGCATATTGACAAATTTGAGGCAGACATGAAGTTATATCTCTAAATATATTAGAATCAAACTGATTCATCTGATAATGCAGGAATTTTTAATTAAGCTTTTTAGTGGAATAGATCACAAAAATTAAAGACTCAAGGAAGTTTGTTCTTAAAATTTTTGATGTAGGATAGATTGAGGGATTCCAATAAGAAGGAGTAGCCAGGAAGAAGTTGAGAAACCAGGGGAGAAGAAGGAACGGGGAGGAGAAACAGAGAGAAGGGAGAGAGGAGAAGAAACTAGGGGAAGAGAGGGGAGGGAAAAAACGACTGCAAGCCAAAAAATATTTCAATTCTAATTCATCATCATCTCGTGAAATTACAACTGAAAATCATATAAATAGTAAAAGCATAACCCTACCAGTGATGGGCTTTAGCCAAACCAATAATACAAGCTCAATAACTAGAAAAGTAAAATAGTGCGATAATAATACAAGTGATGTCCACATCAATTCTCCCGGAGTGGAAGAAAAACTCGACTCTGTCGAGTGAACAAATGACAAAGAGCTACCGTCAATCTTCAATGTCTGAACTCATACTACGGTGGACGATCTTTTTGAGAACCAAATATCTGAACTCCACGGTCGATAACAATGCAAATGGCAACTTGTCCTCAAGAATATGATCCGACCAAGGCAGACGATCCCTCATTTTAATTAAGTACCGACATTGGACTCCAAATAACAAGTACTCCTGCAACTCATCTCCAAAATCTTCACATGATTGCGCATAATGTGAAGCACAATAAGAACGTTGATCTACCCAACAATTAAAAAAGCACCGATTCTCTCCATCAATGGTTAACACAACCTGTTCATCTAAAATTACATCAATTTTATCTTTGTGTGATACGACAGGTGGTATTCAAATAGACATAACAAAAGATTCGGTGTGAGAGTTCTCGGGTAAAGATAAAAAAGGATCAACAAAAGTGTTAAAATAGCCATTGTAAGTATCGAAGTCCTTAACAAATAAAATAGGGTGATGGTCATAATGTGATAAAAGATCATTGACATAGGCATTTTGACCAACATGCTTTGAAATTTTAAAAAGACCAGCATTACACTCTTGCAATATAACATAATCCCCAATATTAAATTCAAAGTGTTATTTATGCCAATCAACTTGAGATTTATATAACGCTTTACTTGCTTTAAATTGTTTATTGATCTCAATATGCAAGCTATGAAAATGTGATACAACTACCTCAACTGACATAGACACACAAGCCTGTGGGTGCATGGGAATAAGGTCTAGAGGTTTCGAAGGTTCACAACTAAGAATAACTTCAAAGGGTTTTAGACCTAAAGACCAATTCACAGGATCGTTATATGCAATTTGAACAGTTGGAGGGATCATGTCCCAATTCCTAAGATTTTTCTAGACTAGAGACTTTAATAAATTGTCAGAATTTTGATTAGCACTTTTGTTTTGACCATCAATTTGAGGTTGGTCAGTGGTGGATAATTTTGCCTTAGTGTTAACCATAGGCGACTGGATTTTTCAAGGGTGATTGGTGACATCATCAAGCTCTTTAACTTGGGTAAGGGTATGACATATAACATGTGATCGAGAATTGTCGGAGATAAGGGGTGTAGTATCCAAAGTCTCGAGAAGAGTCTGGATTCCACCTAAGGAAGTGTCCTCACTATCATCCAAGTCATCAAAATCCTCAAGTTTAGGTTCATAGACTAGATCTTCTAACGGTTCCTCTATTACATTCTTTCGTTCTTCCCTGACTAAGGTTCGATTAGGATATTTAGAAGAAATGTGACCAAAGTCTTGACAGTTGACGCACAACAAGTGAGAAGAAGACCTTAGAGTTTCAGAAATTCTACCATGATTTTCTAAGATTGGAAAACCATTAGAAGGGGGAGGTTCTAAAAGGGACTTAACGGGAGGAGGTGGAGCCAATGAAGCCAAATGATGATTATAAAAAATTTTACCCTTATTTTTCAAAATTGGAGGAACATCAGACGGGGGAGGTCCTAGAAGGGACTTAACGGGAGGAAGTGGAGCCAATGACACCAAAGAATGATTGTCAATATGCTTTCTACATGGAGAAAAAGATCTTGGACTATCACGACCTTTACAATTATTTTTCCAAATAGGAGGAACATTAGGCGGAGAAGGTTTTATGATAGACTTATGATGAGGCGACACTAATGAGATGGGTGAACGACGATGACCACGCTTTTCATATGGAGTACTAATAATCAACTCATAATCTCAAGCTAAAGAGTAAGCGTAATCAAGAGTAGTGACACCTCGAAGGAAAAGCTCGCGCTTAAGATCATCTTTCAGACCTTGGCTAACCCTACTCAAAGTCATGCTCTCATCCTCAATTAAATGACATTTGGTTCGAAATTCCACAAATTGCGCGATATACTCAGTCGCTAATTGATTTCCTTGTTAAGGGCATTCCATTGAGTAAGAATTTCAAAATTATCTCGTTCTCGTTCTCGCTCTCGCTCTCGCTCACAAATCTGATCCCTATTCCTATCCCTATCCCTACAATCGGGTCGAAAGTATTTTTGATTACCTTGTCGATGATGTTGTATATTATGGGACACCTTATAATTATCAACATCAATTGAATGAGGGAAGTGTTTAAAATTTTTCAAACTAACAGACAGGGCCTTACTCTCTTCAAGAGTAGCAGTCATTTGAGTTTGAATAGCCACTATTTGTCGGGTGAGTGCATCGAATTGTGAGGGGTCCATGTTTAAGGTACTGGAGCTAGAAGTGACAAGATGACTAATATGTAACTACATGCACTGTAATAGCAACTTAATGACATGCAATAGAGAGATCAACGAACAAAAAGTGCAAGTAATAGAAAATGAAAATTTGAGCTATTTCTTTTTTTTTTTTTTAAATAAATGTTGGGTTTAAAATCCAAATATAACAAGCTAATACTGCTGGTATATGTAAAATAGCAAAGCAAGGGTCAAATACTAGTCAAACTCTAATCACGTAAAACAAGCAAGGTAAAAGTGAGATTTAACGAGGTTAATGGATCCAATTACGTAAATTTAGGTAAAAACTAGATCAGCAGCAACAAAAATATTGATGCAATTTTAAAACGAAACAGTAATATAAACCAAAGATAAATAAAAACAGTAACTTCCGTTTCGTCCGTAGAAGTAGATGTGTCAAATCAACAGGAATAAAAAGAGGTACCTGCAAAAAATAGAAAATACGTTTTCTTTTCACTTTTTTTTTTTACGTTTTCTTTTTTTATTTTTTTTGAACTTAAAAAAAAAAAATCAAATAAGCAATTAGTTACAAATCAAGGCCCAAACTACTAAAATACACGAACTGTGACCCAAATACCAACTATAACTATAAGCAGAGCCCAACTAACTTCATGGGTTGCCCATTATCATCAGTCGGTTGCCCCTTATCATTAGCCCGTGAAATTTCTGGGCCATTGTCGGCAGCTAGGCTGTAATTTGGAGTCTCGAGTTGTGGCTAGCGGTGGTGGTGAGCAAATCGGCCAGAGGTAGATGGGTTTTTGGAAGTGGGTCGAGATAGTTGTAGACAGCGAACGACTGTATGTTGTGGAAGTTAGTGGAAAAGAATGCGTAGGGCGCCGTCGGTGGTCGATTATGGTGTGCGGCGATTGGGATTGAAGACAGCAGCGACAGTAGGAGAAGTTGGTGGTAACACGTGGCGGTAGTGATTCCTGGAAGCCGACGCTATAAGAAGTGACTGGCGGGTAGGGTTGTGGCAAGTGTTGGAAGCTGGTTTGGAGTACAGTGTCGTGAGATTCGGGTGAAGGGGATGATTCTACGAATTGGGCCAGGTAATGGGCTAGATTGATTTGGGATTAACAGTAGGTTGGGCTGCAGGTATGATGAATAAAATGGGCTCAGTAAAGGGTGGGTTATTGGGACGTGAGGAAGCTAGTGGCAGTTGGCGGTTAAGAGGAAGGGCTATTTTGTCGGCATATGGATTGTGCATTTATAAATGGAAAGTGCGCTGACGGCTCTTGGGTGTCAGGGATAATTACATGGTGGTGGGGATTGGCAGTTGCAAAAGGTGGTTGGGTGGTGTGATGATGTATTGGGTTAGATGTTTGTGTGTGGTTTGGAGAGGATGGATGGGTTACCTTCTGGACAGGGAGTTATGGTGTTGAACAGCACATCTTGCATCACTTCCATGGAAATTTTGACTCCAATTTTCTGTTAATGAGATTGAAAACCAGGCTTGGCTCTAATACCACTTTGATGTGGGATAGATTGAGAGATTCCAATAAGAAGAAGTTGAGAAACCAGGGGAGAAGAAGAAGGAACGGGGAGGAGAAATAGAGAGAAGGGAGAAGAGGAGAAGAAACCAGGGGAAGAGAGGGGAGGGAGAAAACGGTTACAAGCCAAAAAATATTTCAATTCTAATTCATCATCGTATCGTGAAATTACAACTGAAAACCATATAAATAGTAAAAGCATAACCCTACCAGTGATGGGCTTGGGCCAAACCAATAATACGAGCCTAATAACTAGAAAAGTAAAATAGTGCGATAATAATATAAGTGATGTCCGCATCAATTTCTTATTAAAGTTTGCAGTCCTTGTATTAGCAATGGGACTTGTATAGAACTATTTGAATATACTTGCTTACAGGCAAAACCTTTAAAGCATCCAAATGGATATACATCCTCACATAAGGAAAGTTGGGTCTTGATTCTTCTTATCGCCAACAGGATCCTCTGCCACGGAAATTATGATATTCAGATTCATTGCTCATACTTGACACAAAGCTGCACTTTGAATTTTTGAAACTCGGTACAAGAACCTATCCAGTTACTTCCTTGCAGAGACTTATTGCTTCCATCAAGATTTTGTTTTAGTTCAAGAACTTTGCAAATATTGATCGTGCATGGGTGAAACTTGTATGCCCATGATGTGTGTCTTTTATTGATTGTCTAACCTTAATTTGACTGAAAACTACCATTGATGGTGCCTAGTAAGGAAGAAGGTATACTCACCTTTTCTTTTATGATATCAGGTGTATTTTGACATTCTTCAGGGCTCAAATATCTCTGAAACTCACTTATGCAAGGTTCTAGAAGCACATGGTGTACTAACATTGCCAGAAGGGCCATTCAAGTGCGTCTCTTTCTATGAATTTTTTTCAATTGTGCATGCCTTGGATTCAGTTCTCCCTACTTCTATAGTTTTTTGTGTAGATCATATATATGATGTCGAAGGCTAAGTATTATACCATCACCTCTTGAAGTGTGTATTACCCCAAGGGTACTTAGCATTTATGGATTGACATTCACCTCCATTTCTGATGGATGTGACCTTATATCATGTCATTGTTTTGCTCGATAATTCCGGGCATAATAGAATGTTTTGAACCATACGTGCATTTGTAAAGAAATTGATGCTAAAACCTTTACATGGCAGACTTAGGCTTGTCATTCACCACCAGATCTCAGAAAGCGATGTGCACTACACACTGTCTTGCATTCAGGTAATATTTACAGAATATTGTATTAATGAATAACTTTGCTATAAGAAGTGGGAGTTTTATTTGTGTCGATATAATTTCTGTTGCAGAAAGCTGTAACTGGGTTTGTTGATGAAAATCATGGCAACTGAGGGAAGTTCCCCTTTTAGAAGATCATCGTTCTGGCTTATTGATGTTTGATGTTTATCAGAAATTTGAAATCTTATAGTAAACTGCAGCTCTAAGAACTTTAAACTTTATCAATCCTGTTGCCAATTCTGTTTGTATATGCAGTCCATTCTTATTGGCTCGTTTGATACGGGTGATCGGAAATAAACCAAACTAGAATCTTGTTTATATTCGGCTAAGAGTACTGTGAATCGAGCTAAAAAAATCAACAGTTTGAAACGAAAAACCCAACTGTATTGGCTTGCATAAATATATGAATATGTACAGCAAAGTGAATGGTTTCTTTTACAAATTACGGTGAAAAATACAGAGAGGAACACCTTTTATAGATGAGATACTGAGATAGAAATTGTATGCTAATTGCTAGAATAAGTTGTGAAGTAATAACAAGTGCAGTCTTTATAACTAACTAGCAAAAGTCTCGTACACACAATTTTAATGAGTATTGTAATAGTACGAGATTTGTTCGACCTATGCATGTTTCCAACGTGCATGGGCAGCTATAGCTGCATGAAAAACTGATAGCAGACTGCGAACAGACTTTGTAACGAAGGAAGTTCAAATCCACAACAGTCAAGAGAGGCAAATAGAAGTGTGAATTAGAAAAAAGCTATGAGTGCTCATTCATGACAAGTATAAATATGTGGGATAGTTGTACTTCCTAAGGGAAAGTAATCTGTTAGTGTAAGTGAATATATATTCACAGTAATATTAAACTGATGGGACATAAGAAAGGTTGGCTCGTAGCCAAAGGCTATACGTTGAGTAGACTATTAGGGAACATTTATAGAACAATGCTAGGTGTACAAAAATTGCTTAACAGATAAGCATTCGACGATTTTTCATTTGTCCATGGCAAAAAAAAGCATTGGCAGCATATGGAAAACTTCTGTAAGGATTTCTTCTATGCATATGGTTTTGGCCACATTTGTATGCTATCTTCGTTAGCTAAAACCTGGTTGTTCCAGTGTTCAAAATGCGTTTTTACACATTTAGCCCCCGTTTGAACCCCATTATTTCTCATTACATTAAATTAAATTTTTCTCTTTCTTACTTTTAATCACACAATTTTCAATAAAATAATATTACACGTAAATCAAAAAATTTTCAACCACTTATTTTTCAAAAAAATATTATTCATCTCATTATAATCTACAAATAATGAGGCTCAAACGGGGGCTTAACTAGAAAGGTCCACATGGAAGTAGTTGAGAATGAGAAATCATGATTCTATTATATCGATAGCAATCATTTCGCAAAAATAAAAATACACACTGAAAGTGTAAGTAATATGCTCTAGGTCCAATCGATTTTAGTATGTAAATTTTTTAATTAATGAATACACTTTTATTTATGACAAAATTATTATTATTATTTTGACAAAGTTAATTAATAAAGTTCGTAAAATGTAAGTGATGACGAAATACAAATATCCTTATTATAATTAGACCAGTATGTGTGACATTTTCTCACCAATGAAGTGAATAGTTGATCTTACAAGTTAAAATTTAATGATATTTAATGGACACGTAAATATTTTGCTAAGTGAATAAAATATTGGAAACTAGCTACAAGGATTCCACATAAATAACTAATACAGTGTTATTGGTAAATTTCTATTATTCGATAGTGGAATTGATAATTTAATTTAAGGTCATCATATTACCTTATATGATAACGCAACATATGTAAAAAAGGTTGAATCCCAGCCTTGAGGGTCTCCACCGCCCCATGCCTAGAGTATCGTGTGGGAGGTAAATCGCGGGATGTATCCCAACAGGTTAGGGAACAAGAGCTTGGCTGTACACTGGTGACCACAAAGAATCCAATTCCATATTTCAGGAATCAAACACTCACACTATGTCGGCCAGCAAAGTTGAGACTACCTCACTCCTGTCCTTTGCACCACTGAATCATGCCTCGGGAGGCGGACCCATTATATGTATGTTGGATGATGTTCTGTCAAAGTTATCAATACATATCATTCGAGTATGGTAATAATTTTATGAAAATTGTGAATGATCACTAAATGAGTTGTCACTCTTAAATAGTAAAAAATTATGATTTACATTCTTTCGCGTAAGTTGATATCAAAATCCTTGGTAACTTAATCTGTTGCCATGTGTGATTGGACAATAATCATTCTATCTCATCCTTCATTACTACCGCTCGTTTGATTGATTTATCTACCTGCACAATTTCACTATAATCTTTCAATTCACCTGTATTAGTCAATAGAACACAACACAACACTAGAGATGAAATTTAGGAATTATTTGAAATTGGTACTTTGAAATTTAGGAATTGATTTGAAATGGTTACTTTAGAAGTATGGATAAAAGTTTTAGCAGATTTTAATAAAAAAAAAATGATGAAATGTGTGGTTGAAGTTTTGATTAGAGTTATGGATCCCATAAAATGTGTGATTAACAATAATTATTGATTTTGACCTCAACTTTTTAAACTATTCCCAAATAAGAACTTACATGTAAATACACAAATTTATAAGAATATGAATTAATGAGTAACGAGATCGATTTTCACAAAAAAAAAGTTAATTATAATAAAAAAAATCGTTATATTCCTAATTCATGAGATTGATTTTTTATTTAAACAACCAACTCTATGAAGTTTTGAATATTCAACATTAGTTAACATTGTAATTATATAACGATATTAATTTTTCAAAATTGAAGTGGCAACTAGAAAGAGTTATTTTTTAGGGAAAATTATCTAGAAACCTAGATTTAAAAATCAATTTTCACGAATAAGGTTAATTTTATAATTTATGTGGTAATTAGAAATTAATAAATTAATGTTATATTAATAAATTAATTCGTACTAATTCAACCTACCCAATCCTAACTCCCACACTCCACACCCAATTTTTCTTTTCTCTCTCTCTCTGGCGAATACATCTGCCGACGAATACTTTCACTACGATGGCACTGTGAAAGCAGCTGACGGTTAATCCTCTTGAAGACACGACATCGCAGTGAGAGCAGCTAATGGTGATGGCACCGTGAGAGCTGATGACGGCGACTCGAAGCTATGGTTTGGATTTATAGTCATGGTCATTTCCTCCTCTCTCTGTCCAGCGGTGGCAGCAAGTAGTTTTCTCCCCAGTAGTAGTGGTGGTCTTTACTCGGTACAAATGGGAAATAAGGGTGCATTTATTCATTTTGAAACCTTGATCTGAAGCCAAGTATCGTCACTTTTACAACAATGGTTAGTGTACCAACTTTGACTTGTGTCCCCTTCATATCCACTCCATTTTTCTCTTGTGGTCAAGATTTAGATTTCGATTATCATTTTGAGACTAAGTTTATTGATGAACTGCAACAACACTTTAATGTCAAGCCAATGGCATATGCCAATAACTTCTTTCAAATGTTCTCGTAATACATTTTCAAATCTGTTTTTTTATTTCTTTCTTCATACATTTTTTTGCCTGTGTGCTGGTGATGTGGTTTTTCCGATGGCTGTAGGTTGATTTATAGGTGGTGGTGATGATGGTGGTCAATGGTGGACTAGAGTTGGTGGTTGTGGTATAGGCGTTACCTTGCAGGTGGTGGCGGTGATGCTGCATCTAAGGTTGTAGTGGTGCTAGTTGTTACCAGTTGTTGGTTTTTGTCGGTTGTGATTGTGGTGGTGCAGTGTAGGTGGTGATCGTGGTTGTATTTTGTTGTATTGCAGGCAGCAAAGGCATTTTTTTTCCTGTATATGATGGTGTGGTGCAAGTGATGGTGTGTTGATCAATTTTTTGTTGCTGGTGATTGTGGTTGTGTGGTGCTGGTCGTTTTTTCATTGTTGATGTTAGTGGTTGTACTGGTCTGGTGCAGGCGGCAGTTATGTGGTGGTCGTATTTTTTTTATTGTTGTGTTAGAGTGACTATTTGTGATCAGGATTGTGTTAACTGTGACTGTATCTGACTTGGTTACAGATGACAATTCGTTGTTAAGGTCACAATTCACTAGTCACAAGTTTCAGTTGACAAGTCACTGTCATTTGTATAGGTCACAAATCAATATAAATGGGTCACTGATTAATATTAACAGGTAACATGTCATATTTTGTAGAGTCATTGATCAAATTTATAGGTCACATTTTATGTTATGAGTCACAGGTAATAATTCAGGTCAAAAAGCATATTTCATGTCACCTCTTAAAAATCAAAAAGAAAAAATGTACGGTGGAACGATCCTTAAGGTCACAGTTCACTGGTCATAAATTTGAGTTCAAGAGTCACTGTCATTTTGCATAGTCACAGAACAATATTAACGGGTCACATGTCACATTTTGTAGAGTCACAGATCAAATTTACCAATCACATTTTATGTTATGAGTCACAGGTATTCACAGGTCAAAAGTCAAATGTCATATATAAACTATAGAAAATTTTATCTGTGACCAAAAATAATTTATGACCAATTAATTTAATAATTTGTGATCAAATTGTACATATTTGTGATTTTAATATATTTAAGTACAAAATAATTTTGATTAATTATTTCATAAATAAAATTCCAATATTATCATATTTTAAAATTTCAAATTTTATTTCTTAGTTTTGATATTAATTTTGAAATTGATTATATGTATATTCATCCCACATGATTAAGTCACGATTTAATAGAACTGGTCACAAATCTAATGAAATTGGTTACAGATCATTGCCAAAAAAAAAAAAGGTACATGTGTGGGTCGTTGGAGGGTCGCCGGAGCTGGAGCGGTCATTGAAGGTGTCGTCAAATGTGGGTGGAGTCGCTAGAGGTGGGATGGGTGGAGAGAGAAAGAGAATGTTTGAATTTAAAATTTGGTGTTGTGGGTGGGGGTGGGTTGGATGGGGTGGAGTGGAGTGGAGTGGGGTAAGTAGATTAATTATATTATATTATAATTAAATATTTAATAAATTTAATTATCACCTGATTTTTGAAAGGTTTTAAGAAGTTTACTAATTTTGAAATGTAATTTTTAAATGGTGGATTTATGTGGTGTTCCCAAGTTTTTATTGGTTGAACTTTAGACATTAAACCCCTGTTTGGTGATCATTATTTACAAAAAATAATGTTCTGAATAGTGATTTTTTGGATAATATCTGATTAAAAAATAAGAAAACTTTTTGGGTTTACGTATAAAATATTTTATTGTATGAATATGAATATATGATTGAAAATGAGTATTTAGAAAAAAAATTAATTTAAAGGCTAATAAACAATGGCTAAT